AGACACGGCAGAGCGACCTAGGCGTTCCGTCGCCACTCCTTTGGTTCGCGCTACAGCTAGTCCTGAGTTCCTGCCGCCTATTGCATGCCTCCTTTGGTGTCGTGGTTAAGTGCGCGGACTCTAATCTGGGAGAACCGGGTTTGAGTCCCCACTCCTCCACTTGCACCTGCTGATGTGACCTTGGGTCAGTCACAAGCTCTGGCAAGAGCCAGTTTGGTGTAGTGGTTAAGTGCGCGGACTCTAATCTGGGAGAACCGGGTTTGAGTCCCCACTCCTCCACTTGCACCTGCTGATGTGACCTTGGGTCAGTCACAAGCTCTGGCACAGCTTTGAAAAAGAGCAGTTTGTGTCAGAGTTCTCTCAGCCCCACCCACCTCCCAGGGTGTCTGTTGTGGGGAGGGGAAGGGAAAGGAGATTGTAAGCCGCTCTGAGACGCCAAGTGAAGGGTGGGGTATAAATCCAATCTCTTCTCCTCTTCTTCTTCTTCCTTCTGGAACCTCTTCTCCTCCTCTTCTTCTTCTTCCTTCTGGAACCTCTTCTCTGCACCATGAGCCGGTGGCCACACCGATCTGAAGAGAGACTTCTACTTTCAAGGACTACCAGGTCACCATTCAACTGGTGCAGTTGTCATTTATGCGTGGTGGGAAAGCTATTTGTTCTGTGTGTTCATTTTGGTTGTAAGTAGAACTGTACTTACACGCAAGTGGCTGCGGTGGCTCAAGTGGTTAAGACGCTGAACTGCAGACTGGAAGGTCGGTAGTTCAGCAGTTCGAGACCCGAGTGTGCCACATGACAGAGTGAGCACCCGGCTCTGGGCCCAGTTCCTGCCAACCTAGCAGTTCAAAAGCAAGAAATGGCAAGTAGATAAATAGGTACCGCTTCGATAGGAAGGTAACAGCGTTCCGTGTGCCTCGGTGTCTAGTCATGCCGGCCACATGACCACAGAAACGTCTTTGGACAGTGCTGGCTCACTGGCTTGGAAACAGAGATGAGCAGTGCATCCCTAGAGTCAGATTCGACTGGCAGCGTTTTGTGCACCTCGGTAACAGCGTTCCATGCACCTTGACGTCTTGTCATGCCGGCCACATGACCACGGAAACATATTTGGACAGCGCTGGCTCATCAGCTTGGAAACGGAGATGAGCAGCGCATCCCTAGAGTCGGATTCGACTGGCTTTCGAGCAAGGGAAACCTTTACCTAGAACTGTATAAGAAGACAGTAGTCTCTAGTGTGATTTCTACAGCGCGACAGATTATTCTGTTTATTCGTTTGTATAACTGCATTCGCTGTATTTCCATTTTGTGTGTGTTCGTTACCCACCTGGAGGTTGGCAACCCACAATTCTGCTTACAATCAGGTCTCGACCACAGTCCCGATCATTCATCCAAATAAATCCATGAACTCTTTTGTACACTGCAACCGTATGACCTGTGCGGAAAAGCTCTCTTGAGCAGTTTGGTCTTGCATGGTTTGTGGAAATCCAGGAGAATGGGAGAGTTCGAAGTCCTGGCCTTATCAAAAAGACTTCTGTCTGCTCCTGCAGGCTGAGAGCTCCGTACTCAGACATTATTACTGCCAGAGCAGTTATGATCAGTGCGAGATGCTAAGAGCCAGTGAAAGGTCCGGGGTCCCAACATGGCTCCGGCAAATGTGATGCGGTGACACTTGATTTATACCAGGTGAGAATCATGCCCCGAGTGCTGATCTCGACAACAAAGATCATAACTGGTAGGATCTGTCATTCAGAAGGAAAATAACGGCCTCTACACCAGCTCCACCTGCTGGTTTGTAAAATCCATTGCTTGCAACAACAACAAAAAAGACACCCCCCCCCTTTTTGAATGTTGTTGTTGTTGTTCAGTCGCACAGTCGAGTCCGACTCTTCGCGACCCCATGGACCAGATCCCGCCAGGCCTTCCTGTCTTCCGCCGTCCTCTGAAGTTGGCTCAATTTCATGTTCGTTGCATCTATTTTGAATGACTGCTAGGTAAATAATATATATATATTTAAAGAAGTCGATATTTATTTGCTAGATGCCTGTAGGGCCTTCTTTCCTTTCTGTCGAGTCCGAAACTGGTTTTGCCGTCATCCGTGCGATGAGCGTCCAGATATTAAAGGGGCAGAGCTGGTATACAAATGGCAACGCAGTATACAGATTGTGTCCCTGAAAATGAAGCAGCCGATACAATCCCAACGGTGGGAGAGCTGGAGGGAGGTCGATCATTACTGAACCGTTTGCAGGAACAGCCGACGCAGATCTGCAAGTGAATTTTGTTCTCTTCCTTTCCGAGAAAAGTTTGCAGCTGTCGAGATCGGAGAGAGCTTGAGATCCGATGGACCTTCCTGTTCCCCCCACCCACCCTGCCATACAGAGCCCCCAAATCTTGTCAACATTATTGAAGTAATTAATCTACTATCTTATTATTACAGCTGTTTGCCTTCCGGGGTGCAATGCCATAGAGTCCGAGGGCCGAAGCGGCCATTTTCTCCAGGTGAACTGAACTCTGTTGCCTGGAAATCAGTTATAATCGCAGGTGGTCTCCTGCCGCCACCTGGAGTTTGGCAACCCGGTGTATTCTGGGCATCTGAAAGCGGAGGTTATCCAGTTTCTTTATAGCCCTGTCTAGGTTCGGTGCTCTCTCTGTATCATAGGGATGATTGCAATTGTTGTTTTTCTCTCCCCCTTCTTGGGAATATATTGTTCGGTACTCGTCTTCGGGAAGGGAGTTTGGAGGCAGGGAAATGAATGTCAACCAGTGCTGTAGACGGAGATCCAGCCACGGGGACTCAGTTAAGACTGCTGCGTCGTGTCTTTCTGCTTCGCGTCACCGGGATGTCGAGGCTTTTAATTTTAATTTTTTTTTTTAATGCGTTGAGCATCTTGAAGAGTTCGTTGAACATTCCGACAGTTTTAGCCAGGATTTCTGCGTGCTGCGTAAGCCTGATTTTGCATGAGTTGCTCACTTTGCAAGGCACACACTGGGTGATACTAAAGCCCCCTCTGGGGTCATCTCTGCTTCATCGGAAGATCTGCAGAAGCCAGTGTTTGGCATCCAGAGTAGGGGAACATAAGAACATAAGAGAAGCCAGTGTGGGATCAGGCCAATGGCCCATCCAGTCCAACACTCTGTCACACAGTAGCCAAAAATACCAGGTGCCATCAGGAGCTCCAGCAGTGGGGCCAGGACACTAGAAGCCCTCCCACTGTTGCCCCCTCCCCAAGCACCAAGAATACAGAGCATCCCTTGCCCCAGACTGAGAGTTCTGTTTTATACCTTGTGGCTAATAGCCACTGATGGACCTCTGCTCCGTATGTTTATCTAATTCCCTCTGGAAGCTGTCCATGCTTATAGCTGCCACCACTTCCTGTGGCAGTGAATTCCATGTGTTAATCACTCTCTGGGTGAAGAACGACTTCCTTTTATCCCTTCTAACCCGACTGCTCAGCAATTCCATGAAGTGCCCACAAGGAGTTCTCGTATTGTGAGAATGGGAGAAAAGAAATCTGCTTCTGCTTTCATTCAGTGGGAGAGATTCCCCCTCCCTTTCTAGGAGTCCTTTCCTGTGCAGTAAGGAAGTTGAAGCCCTGACCAGAGCAGATTTGGGAGGGTGCGGACTGTCACTGGGGAGAAACCAGCAACTCCACCCCCAGAGTTGCCAGCCTCCAGGTGTGTGGGGTGTGTGTGGACTCTCTGGCATTATGCCGTCATGAGATCCCTCCCCCTTCCTAATCCCCGCCCCTCCCAGGCTCCACCCCCAGATCGCCAGCTATTTCCCAAGTGGGAGCCGGCAGTCCTGACTACCTGCAAGGACGGGATGGAGCCAAGCCAGGGGGAAAAAACACACATGCAAATAATCCTGTTTGGTTTGGGGTCCTCTGTTGAAGGCAAAGACCTTTACTTATACAAGCAAATCTTCACAGGGTTATTCTTGTTACCCATATTATAAAGCCCATCGTTCTTTTAGGATGTTCAGTGTTATGTCTGAGCTTGGGCCAGTCACAAGTTCTTTCAGAGCTGTTCTCTCAAGGACAGTTCTCGAGAGAGCTCTCTCAGCCCCACCTACCTCACAGGGCATCTGTTGTGGGGAGGGGAAGGGAAAGGAGATTGCAAGCCGCTCTGAGGCTCTGAATGAAGGGCAGGGTATAAATCTAATGTCCTTATCTCCTCCTCCTCCTCCTTCTTCTTCTTCCTCTTCTTCTTCCTCTTCTTCTTCCTCTTTCTCTTCTTCCTCTTTCTCTTCTTCCTCTTCCTCTTCCTCTTCTTCCTCTTCTTCTTCCTCTTCCTCTTCCTCTTCTTTTTCTTCTTCTTCTTCCTCTTCTTCTTTTTCCTCTTCCTCTTCCTCTTCCTCTTCTTCTTCCTCTTCTTGTTCTACCTTGGCTGCAGTCAGCTCCAGTGCTGTCTATTTCACAACGCACCTACTTCATAACTTAATCTCTCTTTCTTTCTTTTTTTGTCTCCAGCAGGTGACAGCGACACAGAACCCAAACGCGGTGCCGATGAAACTGAGAGTCAAGACGATGCAGGTTTGTTTTGTGTGCGTGTGTGTGTGTGCGTGTGCATGCGCTGAACCCGCTCGAAAGCCTCCCGTCCCTCAGGCTCCGTTTGCTTTGGTGAACAACAGCCCCAGTCGATGCTATTGACTGAAAACGTTTGTACGTTTTCAACCAGATTAAATCGGGAGCTCACGCGACTCTCCCAGAGGAGACCGCGGTTCTCTTCATTATGAATGAGCCATATTCCTTTCTAGCTCAGGAATGCGGCTGGTCCTGTTAGCAACGAGCAACGCGCTCCCCCTTCTTAAAGTGGAATCGATCTTGGGAATGCTTGAAATGGGGGGGGGCCCCTGTTCCGTGGCAGGGTATCATATGAGGCTCTCACGCTCCAAAGGAGCTGGAGGAATGTGGAGAGAAGGTACGCTTGACGAGACGAAGGACCTCTTCTGCCTTTAATAGCCCCGCGCCTTTGTGATCCGTTTCTTTAAAAGCCTATTTGGCTTCCAGAGCGGCTGGTTTCCCACACCTTGCTTTTACGGATCAGCTTAGGGAACATTTCAGGAGTCCGGCTGCCAAAAATCCAAACCACGAAAATAGATATCAAAGCCCCTAGAAAGGAGGAAATAGTGAACATTTATCTTGCTGGGGTGAGGGGAATCGTAGAAACATAGAGCTGGAAGGACCCCCAAAGGTCATCTAGTCCAACCCCTTGGACAATGCAGGAAACTCACAACTACCTCCCCCCCAGTGACACCCCCCCCCCCACCCCCCCC